AAAAGTCAAGTAAAACTTGCTATCACATTGAAAATCCAAAAGTCAGGCAGTTTTATTTCCTCCTAGCTTTTTTATGGGCAATTATAATATACTGGCTGTGAGGTTATGTGTTTGTGGATTACAGAATGAATACAACAATGACTCACAGTACAAAGTTTTAATTTTTATAGATAGAGTTAAAAGGAGACAGACATATATTAGTCAGTTGTTATTTGACTATAATAAGACTATTGAAAGAATCATCTAAAAATAATTATTCATAAGCAGATAAAAAACAAATTCTTTACCTTCATAATAAACTTTATAATTGAAAAAAAATATTTTCACAAAAATTTCATTTAACTTTCACATGAATTCTGTAAAATTATAGAATCATTTCCCAACTTAAAGAGAAGGAGAAGCCTCTTATCTGAAGTCACATGTCAGTAAATGAAGACCAACAGCATAAACCTAGACCTTCTAATACCAAGCCACACATTTCTTCTGTGTCATGTGTCCCATCACCATTTCAGTCACCAAGGAAATAAGACCCTACATATAGTGAACTTTCTTCCTTTTCTACTTCCCTTTCAACTCCTTTTCAAAAACCTGATTCCTTACTTTACAGTCCAAATCCTTGGAAGCGTACAGACAATTTGAATGCCTGTCAAGTTTAGAAATATGAAACTAAACCAAACTTTTGTAGCTCTAGTTGAGGGGTTGGCGTCAGAAACAATGTGATGCTTCTGTCTTCTGGACCCTGCTACGACAATATTATTCAAAATTCTCAACGCTCATCTTGAGAAATCTTTACCATCTTGATTTTATGCCAGGGACAAGCCAAAACAGATGAATTGCAGACACGTATTCCATCTGTTTTTAAGGCTTTCATCATCTTTTCCTAATCAATAATCCTCTCATCATTATCTCTGCCTTTTCAAAACAGGAACTCCTGCTATTTGTACACAATTGGCATCTCAGGACCCCTTAGCATCCCTCATGTGCCCAGGAGAGAGCACAGAGTGACAAACTCAAAACAAACAGGATATTTTTAAAAGTAAGAAGAATTTAATGAGATTTTTAAAGCATAGATATAAAATGGTCATATTCTTCAATATAACAACAAACATCTGGGTTATAAAATAAGAAATTATTCTTTGGACAGATATTACTTCAATATGGCTATATCAAATCATTTGGTAAAGAATGCCTTAAATAAGCATGGGGAAACTCTCCTACTTTCTAAACTTTACCTAAGTATAAACAAAATGGCATTTAGGCCCTGGTTACAAATTAGTAGTCTTCCTAATCCTATATACAAGCAATATGAAATCCCATTCTGGATACATACTCAAGAAAAATAAAAATGTATGTCCACACAGAAACTATATGAATATTTATAGCAGGATAATGGATAACTCATAATAGCCAGAAAATGAAAATAACCTAAATGTACATCAATTGAGGAGTAGATTAAAAAAAACAAAAAGCATTATATCCATACAAAGGAATATTATTCTTCCATCAAAAGGAATGGAGTATTGATACATACTACCACTTATATGAACCTTAAAAACATTACATGAAGTTAAAGAAGCCAGTCACAAAAAGACCAAATATGGGGGCCTGGGGTTGTGGCTCAATGGTAGAGCACTTGCCTAGCACATGCAAGGCACTGGGTTCAATCCTCAGCACCACATAAAAATAAATATAAACAATAAAGGTGTTATGTCCAACTACAACTAAAAAATAAATATTAAAAAAAGACCACACATGGTCATATGAAATGTCTAGAAGAGGGAAATTTATAGACAGAAAAGAGGTCAGTGGCAGTTTACACAAGGACCAGGGGGTGAGGAAAGAGGAGTTTCTTTATGAGGTCATGAAAATGTTCTACAGGTGTCAGAATATACTAGAAACCACTGAACTGTATACTTCAAATGGTTGAATTGTATAATATATATATTTCGAAAAGCTGTAATTTATTTTTAAATTTAGTAAGTAAAAATTACCCACAGAAAGCACTGGTAGCATCCCTTCTCTGCCCTCTGTTCAGAAGCTTCTAAACACTAAGGCACTTGAAAATGTCCTACAGGTTTTTAGCACAAGACGTGAGAATGAAAGAAAATATTCTTCAGAGCGTGTGAGCCACTGAATGTCGTGTCATGACAATTCAGCATTTAAAGAGGACAGTGGTATGCCTGAGAAAACTACTATCAGATACATCCTCCCAGAGATTACAAGTACAAACACAGAATGAGATTTTTTAAAGTGACCACCATGAAGTACTAGAGAGGGAAGAAAGGCCAAGTCTGGAGGGGAGCTGACTCCAGGAAGAAAGGAAGAGCAGAGGTGTGTTTCAGGCTGTTTACCGCCATTAGCCTGGGAGCAGACCACTTGGCACTACAGAGGGAGAGGCCAGGAAAACTCACTGGACAACCTCAGGGGACAGCCCATGAGGCTGGGCTGAGGCACTTTTTCTATCCTCCTTCTTAGTCACCCAATTCAGTCTCACCTCCCTTGACTTATGTGAAATCCAGTATTCCCAGATTCCTTTCTTTCTTCTCTGACCATTCTTCCTTTAGCCCTTGTTCCCTCCTTTCTTTGTTTACCCCTGAAGTACTATCATTCTCCAAAGCTTTGCCCCTCACATTTTAATCAATAGGTTTTCCTCTTACAGTTCATAGATTGCTGCAGCGTTCACTACTACTGAGACTCCCATGTTCTTAACTGCCCCTAAGGCTCCCTCCCTGGATGCCTCTCACTTCAGACCTCAACAGTCGGTGTGAGTTAAATTCCAATAAGCCAAATATCATGGTCACAGTTTCTCCTTGAATTCCCTTAGGAAGCAACATGTTGGAACTCTTACGTCCTCCATTTCTTCGCCTCGCCTGTCGAATTTATTCAGGATAAATGCACTTACTCTGATTCCACTGTATTTGCTTGTCCCACAATGTCTGTAAGTCCAAACCAAACCTCCAACATGCCTTGCATCCACCTGTATCAGATTTCTCCACTTTTACATCCTACACTTGCAGATGACACTAAAAATCAATCTGGCTACCCATGCCAGAAATTCAGGAGTCAGCCTTGACTTTTCCCCTTCCCTTGCTCCAAACCCAGCGAATCTTTATTTATGTTGTTTTAAATCTACCAATTCCTTCTTTCAAACTTTCATCACCTTTTACTTAGATCATAGCTCGAGACCCCACTGGGCTCTCTGCCTTCTATCCAGTTCTACCACCTTTTTCAAATGCAAATATGATCAGATTTCTCCTCTTAGAAACATCCTCCAATTGTTACTCACCACCCATGGCAGTGATTTTTCAGCAGTTTTGCAGCAAATAAATACAGTCTGCCCTCCATATCCATGGGTTCTGCATCATCAGATTCAAACAACCGTCAATGGAAAATACTAAGGGGAAAACTGCATCTGTACTGAACACACACAAACTTTTAAAAATTCTTATTCCCTAATAATATGGTTCAATCTCTAGTAATATATATATATATATATATATATATATATATACACACATATGTATATATATATATTCACACACACATATATACACATATATGCATGTATTTGTATACATACAGATATATATATATATATATATATATATATATATATATATATATATACCATTTTACACAAGGGACTTGATCATTTGTGGGTTTTGGTGTTCAAGGGAAGTCTTGAAACCAATTCTCCAAGGATACCAAAGCTCAACTGTATTATTTTCATATGAATAACATATAAGATTTTAATATCAGGGCCGGGGATGTGACTCAGTGGTAGAGCACTTTCCTTGCATGTGTGAAGCCCTGGGTTTGATCCTCAGCACCACATATAAAATAAATAAATAAACAAAAATAAAGCTATTGTGTCCATTAAAAAAAGGGAGGTTTTTTTTAAAAAAAAGATCCTAATATCTACAAATAAATGGGAGCTTTATTTTGCTGACATGTCTTACACATTCAATAAATGAGAAAATAAACCAATCAATGAGAAAATAATAGGTAGTTTTTATGAAATAAAAATAAAAATCATTAGTAGTGGAATTAGATCAGCATCATTCTGCCATATATTTCTCTATTTTATCTAATTGCATGCATTCAAATAATCCTAATTCATATCATTAGGTAGCTACCAATGGTAATAGTTTGTTGTTTTTTCCCAACAGTTCACCTTTCAAATTAAGGGTAGAATTCATTTAAAGAGAGATAGCAAGATACAAATACAAGTGAATTAACCTGTCAGCACATATTACTTGGTTGCTGGCCACTGCTTGGTTAAAATTTAGAATGTAATATCTCGAGTATGTGCTTAAGTTCTATTTTTAAAAATGAAAATCAAAGCAAACATTGGTGCAATCTTCCTTAGAACCTGGGTTCTATGGAACGGAGCTTAAAAACCAATGTTCTGGATGCTAAAGCCCAAATGCTGTAGTGTGATCTGCAAGCTCCTGAGTCATTCAGACTTTGTCAATCCAGCTGCATCTCACACTCCTGCTAAGTTTTCGCCCAGTTTCCTAAGTCCAATTCCATCTTTCATAGGATTATACTTTTGCACTTGCTATTTTCTCTGTTTACATCACCTGAATTTCTATTAACTTAATTACAAATGTTAACATGCTATCTCCCCTATGAAGCCTTCTCTTGCTGTCCTACCTTCAACAAAGTCTGTCTTGTCTCATGTCATCTTCTCCTCATCAATGTGAGCACCAAAGAAAAAACTAACTATAGCCTTTGAGTTTACAGGGACTTTCAATGTGCGTGTCACCTAGCAATCACTCCTTAAAATGGTTTGTACTAATTAACCCATTAATTAGTATTAAGAATAATTACCAGTAAAGTGATTACAGTGGTTCAATATTTTGCCTACAATAATCCACAGACCATCGTTTTATTAACTCGATACATTAGGTTATCTTAGTGCTACGTAGAAATCACTCTTCTAAATCACACTAATTTTAATTTTGACTTAATATTTCTTTAATAATGGTATCACCCACCAATAAAGGAGAGCAGGATCACCAGCAAGACAAGGAGTGCACAGATGCATGGAATCAGGACCAGCAGCAAAAAGCGAAGGATATTAGCTGTGGCCAGCTTCTGTGAGCAGCCATCTCCCATGTTATTGTCATCAGCTCCCAAGACCTAATGTAAAAGAGGAAGATGAAACATGGTTTTAATATTACAAATCAACTCAATGTGTGCTATGAAATTTTAGATTATAGTTATCCATTCAGAGCAACATTCGTAAGAGATTTTATTGAGTGTACATAAGAGCGTGAAATGAGGTTAGTCACAAAATCACACTCATAAACAAATAGCTGTATGTGGGTAGAGCAAAAATCACCTATTTTTGAAACATTTTTTCAAAAGCAGATGAACGCTCACTGATTTTTCCAATTTGAATTTTTGTTTGCATCATTCCAAAAGACTATGGATTATATGACAAGAATTCACCCTGACCCAGAGCTTTAAGCAAACACTCTATATACAATGATAAAATACTGGTGAATAGGTGTAGACAGGACAATAAGCAGATTTCATTCTCACTTGTCTCACTAGTTCCAACCCAAATCTGTATAAATCTGGATGAAATAAGTTTTTGGACATTAATAATTCAGCAAGGTTAACTAGTATTTATCATATATTTAGTGACAAGTTGAATCACAAGGAAGAGACTGTCCTGTTTGCCAGTTAAATACCAGCAACTCCAAGGGCATTCTCAGTGGTCCACACTGGCCCTGAGCCCACCCGTTGAGAAGATGATGGGGTATCACAGTCCTGGTTCAGATAAAGTTCTTGTCAAATATGTTAAATTGGGTTTAGTTCAATATTGTGGGAAGCCATTTCTGACACGTGATTGGGTGGCTCACGTTAAGGGTCTGAGGCGCTTTGGCTGGGTCGAAGCTTTCCCGACCCTTTCCTGATGAGAGAACCCATCCGTGTGGGGGTGTGCCTGACCACTGACCCCATGGGCCCAATCACTGACCCTGACCTTGGAGTGCGGTCCCCCCTCAACCTTCATTGGATGGAATTCTCCCCTGAATCTCTTGTTCCCCAATAAAAAGCTACTCCCAGGCGTGTTCTCTCTCTCTCTCTCCTGCTAGCCCTGAGTAATCCTTGCTGCCCTGCTGGGCCGTTAGAGGTGGGAACCAGAGAGGGTAGCCATCTCGGACCTGGCAATAGAAATAAGGTAACTCAGTCTGTGTGTTTTATTTCGATCTCTTCTAACTAACTTTTATGCCAAGAACCTCATTAATGAAACCATTGCGCTGGCCGCATGGTGGACAATATCTTGCCAAAAATTATGTCAGGAGATTTGTTTATTAGAAAAGGCTAGCTGAGGGCAGCAACTATTTCATCAGAAGTCTAAGATGGCTCTAAAAGTGCTTTGAGTCACTATAAGCCACTCCTCTGGATCCCTTAATAAAAGCATGTCTTATGATTCCCCCTTGAACTTCTGACTCTGCATTTTCTCCTCTGACAGCTTGAAAGCTTGAGCTATCACCTCTGCGTACTCTCTTCTGAGCCTCTCTTGAGTCCTCAACTTCCTTTGGAGTTATACTGCACTGTTCATGTGCTTTGTGGACAATAGCAGCTCTTCTCGACATGTCCAAAACCAAAACTAATCTCTTCTATTTCTCTATCTCCAAATAGTTTCTCTCCTGACCTCTCTGTGTGTTCACAGAAACCCCACTATTCCTGAAATTTAGAGACTCCTCCCTCGTCCTTCATTGCTTTAGTCATCTTTTTCATTGCTGTGACCGGAAGACCCAACAAGAACGACACAGAGGAGGATGAGTTTATTTGAAAATCAGTTTCAGAGGTCTCAGTCCACAGATGGCCACCTCTGTTGCTCCGGATCTGAGTGAGGCAGAGCGTCAGGGCAGAAAGGTGTGGAACAGGAAAGGAGGTCAGAATGTGGCAATCAAGAAGCAGAGAGAGATCTCTACTCACCAAGAACAAAATATAAACCCCAAAGGTATACCCTGAGTGACCTAACTCCTCCAGTCACACCCTACAGGTCTATAGTTACCACCCAGTTAATCCCTAACAGGATTAATGCACCAATTAGATTAGTGGTTTCATAATCCAACCATTTCACCTCTACACTTTCTTGCATTGTTTCACACATGAACTTTTGGGGAACAAACACCTCATAACCAAATCATAGCAGTCATCAACTTATCCCAAACATTACCTGGTGTTGTTAGTTCTTCCTCTGGAATAAATATCTAACTTTTTAAAAAAGGAATGACCTTTGAGGCAAAGCCTTATCATAACCAAGAAGATATTCTAACACGATGATCCTCTAATATCGTCAGAACTTCCCAGCCAGTCCATGACCATTCCCCAAAGAAATGCAAAGGAAACACAAAGACAAGCTTGACGTGTCCTTCCAAGTTGCAAGGCACACACAGGTGATACTCCATTTCTGTTTTATTCCTCCTTCATCAGAATCAGTCTTGTTCACTGACACACATTACAAGCAGTGTTTATCACAAAAGGTAACAACATCTGTGATTTTAAGAATTCTCCATGAGAGACATTATTTGAAAGAACTTGGGATGTTGGCTTGCAAAGGACTTGATTTCTTAGGTTCATGTCTTTCCTGGCTCATTCCTTCTCTATACCTGGTTTAAGGTATCAGCCAATGTGAGATCATTCAGAATTAATTTACAATTGATCTTCAAGAAGACTTGACATTGACACAATATAATATGAGACCTGCAACAGCACAATGATTACAACACAATGATTACAACATTAGATTGACAGTACCATTTGGGTCTTGTAGGTAATATTTCCCCAGTAAAAACAAGTATAGGACTGAAGGCTAAGAGAGTGGCAGAATCAACTAACTTCACTTACTCAACAATTAGATATGGAATGCCTAATAATCATAAGAAGGACAGCGATGAAAGCCAGGCACAGTGGTATATGCCCGTAATCCCAGCAACTCTGGAGACTGAGGAAGAAGATCACAAATTCAAGGCCAGCCTTAGCAACGTAGAGAGACCCTAAGCAACTTAGCAAGACCCTGTCTCAAAAAAAAAAAAATTAATTTAAGAAGGGCTAGGGATGTGGCTCGGTGGTTGTTATGGTTTGGATGTGAGGTATCTCCAAAAAGCTCGTGTGTAAGAAAACGCAAGAAGGGTCAGAAGAGAAATTACTGGGTTGTGAGAGTCTTGACCTGATCGGTAAATTAATCCCCTGATAAGGATTAACTGGTAACTGAAGTGTTAGGGTGTGGCTGGAGGTAATGGTTCATTGGAGGCATGGTTATAGGGTACATATTTTGTAGCCAGACAGTGGGCTTTCTCTCTGCTTCCTGATCACCTTGGAGGCTGGTTCCTTCTGCCGCACTCTTCTGCCATGATGTCCTGCCTCATATTGAGCCCCGTGGAATGGAGTCAGCTGTCCATGGACTTAGACCTCTGAAACCATGAGCCCCCCAAACAAACCTTTCCTCCTCTATAGTGGTGCTAGTCAGGTCTTTTAGTTGCAGCAGTGAAATAGCAGACTAAAACAGTGGTTTAGCCCCCCTGAGGTCAATCCCCAATACCAAAACAGAAAAACAAAAAAATGAAGTCTAGTGGTGATATAACAATGATTTCAAACCAACTATCCCTTGAACGGTCACAGTCGTGTAAGATAGATAAGATGTATACATAAGTAATATAACTATATTTCAAGGGATCAAATGTTAAGCTCTAATTTATTAGTTGTCCTTTGGCTCATCTGTTAATTTATATATTTGATTGCTTCTTTATGTCATCCTATCCTTCCCTCCCTGTCCTTCATTTTACTCTAGCTTCCATATATGAAAGAAAACATTTTACCTTTGAGTTTCTGAGTTTGGTTAATTTCACTTAGCATAATATTCTCTATTTTCATCTATTTACTGGAAAATGCCATAATTTTATTCTTTTTTATGGTTGAGTAATAAATACATACATACATACACGCACGCACATACACACACACATATAATTGTGAGTAATATATCTGAGTCATATATAAAATATATATGTATATATTACAATTTCTTGATCCACTCATCTATTGATGGACATCTGGGTTGATTCCATAAATCAGCTATTTTGAATTATGCTGTTATAAACATTGAGGTGGCTATGTCACTGTAGTATGCTAATTTTAGAACTTTCCGGTAAATACCAAGGAGTGGGATAGCTGGGTCATATGGTGGTTCCATCCCTAGTTTTTTAAGGAATCTCCATACTGCTTTCCAGAATGATTGTACTAGTCTGCAGTCCCATAAACAATGTACAAGTGTATCTTTTCCCCCACAACCTCAACAGCATTTACTGTTGTTCATATTCTTGAACATTGCCATTATGACTGGAGTGAGATGAAATCTTAGTGAAGTTTTGATTTGCATTCCCCTGATTGCTAGAGATGTTGAACATTTTTTCAAATATTTTTTGGCCATTTATGTTTCATCTTTTGAGAAGTTTTTGTTTAGTTATTTTGCCCATTTACTGATTGGGTTATTTGTTTTTGTTTTTGTCCTTTCTTTTGTTTTTTATGGGGTTTTGTTGTTGTTTTGGTTTGGTTTTGGTGTTAAGTTTTTTGTGTATCCTGGATATTAATCACCTATTGGAGGAGTAGATGACCAAGATTTTCTCTCATTTGGTAGGCTCCCTCTTCATGCCCTTAGTTGTTTCCTTTGCTGTACATAAGCTCTTTAGCTTGATGGCATCCCACTTATTGATTCTTCTTTTTATTTCTTGCATTTTGGAGGTCTTATTAAGGAAATCAGTGCCAGCACCTATCTGATGGAGTGTTGAGCCTATATTTTCTTCTAGCAGTTGTAAAGTCTACCACGCAACCTGCGCAGTGGTTTTATTAATGAGGTTCTAGACATAAAGTTAGTTAGAAGAGATCGAAATAAAAACACAGACTCAGTTACCTTATTTCTATTGCTAGGTCCGAGATGGCTCACCTCTCTGGTTCCCTCGCCCAGCAGGGCAGCAAGGATTACTCAGGGCTAGCAGGAGAGAGAGAGAGAGCACGCCAGGGACTAGCCTTTTATTAGGGAACAAGAGATTCAGGGGAGAATTCCATCCAATGAAGGTTGAGGGGGGGCTGCACTCCAAGGTCAGGGTCAGTGATTGGGTCTC